ACTATAATCTCATGATAGTAACATGTAATTTTTTGTATTATTTGCATTCCAAAGGAAAATTATACACATAAAGCTATATATATTTTATTATAGATATGTAACATATTCTGTGTCATAAAAATAAATTTTCCATTCAGGCCCCTCCGTTTGCAATTTCCATCATTAAAGTCTTACATCATATATTAATACGTATAATTATCACACATAGAATAAATTTATTATACATTCATAAGTTGTGTAACACACTATAAATACAATATAAATTATGTGAACAACATAAAGCATTTAATGACGTGAATGGAAAATTATGTTAAGATACGGCACGGAACATGTTAAGATACTTATTTTGCAGTTTACTTTCTTTTTTGTTCCCAAGTGGTATTTAAACTATTGTTGCTTTTCTCCTAAATGTTATTATGCATATACTCATACACAAAGTAACATCATTACGTGTGACAACATATCTTGAAGCGTTAAATATCATACTTTTCATAACTCATAATTTGACAACTTAATTTACACAGTCACATAATTAGATATAATCTGTACATTCGTTACAATTTAGTATTGAGGTGGATACGGGTTGTAGGGTGCTGGCTGTTGATAAGATCCAGGGGGTGGTGCATAGCCACTTTGCGGATACGGCGAGTATGGTGGCGGATTAGACGGATAACCGCTATAAGGCGGTTGTCCATACCCACTATAAGGTGGTTGCCCATAACCGCTGGGATACGCACCTTCTCTAGACATCGGCTGACCGTTGTAATTGGGATTGGCCCATCCGGGAACAGCTGGCTGTCCTGTTGCACCTGCGACGCCTTGATGGGGTGGTCCGCTCGCGTATCCGTATCCCGGCTGTATACCGGGATACGGTGGCGGACTATCTGTCATGAAGACCGTATTTCCTAGAAAAAAAAAAATTAGTTCAATATTGCATGCTACTCCAAATTAAAAACAAATTAAAAAATCGATTTAATTTAAGACAAATTCACAGATTTTTTGCATAGCTTTTAGATTGAACCTGTGTTTGTGTCATTTTCATGTTGACATGAACATTTTGATTCATTTTATTAGAAGTAAAAGTAGATATATAATATCTGGATTCAATCTAAGTCATGCACAGGAATTTTTGCAACATACTGAAAAAAAAATTACTTAATCCAGCTTATGTTTTACATCAAATTTTTGCAATTACAAACGGCTAAAAATAATTAGCTTTTACGATTTTTGATACATGTGCATGCTCTAGAATATTCTTTATACAAGTGTCAATAATAAATAACATAAAACCATAAAGCTAATATTAAACCTGGTGGAACATCTGGAAACACATTAGTCGGAGGCATCCATCCATAATATCCATTTGGTGAAGGCCTGTAAGCTGAAGGTTGTGCTGGATACCATTCAGACATTGGAGGTACATATGGTGGTGGTGCATCATCCTGTGGACCATTACGTTGAGCTAAAAATCATAAATACAATATATTTATACAATAAAATATCACATGTTCACACATTTAATGTTGTGAAATCTGACATATACTGAATATGCATAAAATACTCTTTACATATAAAAACCTAGATACAACATTCTCTATATGTACAAATCATAAAACTAGATTGTATGATCACAATGTATATCAATCATGAAATGTCTTATATATCTTGTTTCATTTGTATGTGTCTTACCCATTGATGCAGCTCTTAGCAAAGCTTGTGCATAATCCACTGCTCCGCCACTCTTAAATCGCAATTTGAATTTGCATTCTCCAATCCAGTTACCATTTGGTTGGGCGCGGCATTTGCCTGATATATAATTAGCGCCAAACACTGGCTGTTCTAGTTCAATTCCGCTCAATGTGACAAATGGAAAGCTGAATGATTGCATTTTCTCTTTCCGATCTTTAGCATTAAAGATCATTCTGTGAGTAGTCAAGTACAATCTGCCTTCTTTTTTTCCATAAAATTCAGCTTGTTCTTGACCATGAAATTCCATGGTGACATTGTCACAAAATAGTATGATGCTGAAAGCACAGTTACACAATTAAAGTTATCAGTTATCATGATTGTACATTTTCACATGCAATTGTACAGTAATTACAATTAGCATAAGTAACATGTGCGAGAAGATAGATGTAAAACTAGATATTTCGTCGTTGAACATAAATGTAAATTGCATGATTGTATAATTGAAGTGTGTGTAATTGTAAAGCTGAGTTTGATCAACTGACACGGATGTCGACAACAAGCTAATTGTCACGGAAAGGCTATGGCGGTACTACGTTGCAGACGTCATGAGATCGAGAATATTCCAGATAAATAATTTTGTGCGACTAAAGTAAATCGAATCATTTACAAAACATTTTGCAACTCTTACCATTCACCAGCGTGAAGAAGAACTCCGCCGTTTGCGTGTGCCGTGTTCAATGACATGGTTTTCTTACGTCAAAATACAAAAGATGATCAGAACGTTACGCCGAACGTCAGTCAGTTAGACTTCTCTCGATGACATACGTGTTTCTAAGAACTCCGAAAATCGCCAGTTATCAAGAGAATTATACTGCGTCTATTGGTATTGGTGCGAAGTGGCTAAGTAGACCGCTTCAGGTTGGTCCATACGCCATTCTAAAGCCCCTTGCACAATGGANGGAATAGCGATAGCGATCAAGAGGCATGATAGTGCCTCGCGCCAAGTATACGCGCAAACAAAGTGCGCGCGCGCTGCGCGAGGTACCCCGTGCCTCTTAAGGGTCGTCTACAATGGAGAGTTGTAGGCCGTAACAGTAAGAAATTGACAAATCACAATTGATTATTCTTCTGTACTTTGTCTGTGATTGGTCAATTTCTTACTATTACGGCCTACAACTCTCTATTGTAGACGGCTCTTTAGGCCTGTTCTACAATACAGTCGTAAGTCGTAAGAAATTGACCAATCACAATCGATTATTCTTCTGTGATTTATCTGTGATTGGTCAATTTCTTACGACTTAGAGCTTACGACTGTATTGTAGAACAGGCCTTAAGGGTCGTCTACAATGGAGAGTTGTAGGCCGTAATAGTAAGTAATTGACCAATCACAGACAAAGTACAGAAGAATAATCGATTGTGATTTGTCAATTTCTTACTGTTACGGCCTACAACTCTCCATTGTAGACGGCTCTTTATACGCGAGAATGGCCATTTATGCATTTCGAGATTTTTAGATCTCAAGAATCGGCTAAACCAATCGAGTTTGGCCTAGACTCAATCCAAAGTTGAGATCGAGGCACGAAAAAAAGTATTTCGTGGTTTTTTTTTCTCCGTGCCTTCCCAACGAAGATATCTTGATACAAAGTCCAAAATCTCGATAAATTAGGTTTTATAAGAAGTAAGGCCCGAATTCATAGTCGCTTCTCAAATCTTAGATCTCGGGGTCAATTGTGTATCTTTGTCGAATATTCTCATTTCTCGCACTTTCATCTCACATGAAAAAATACGCGCGATTGGCTATGAGCATAGTGAAAA